AAAAAAAAAGACGGCGTGATTGTGGCCGATTCGCCTTTCCATAGCTGCACACATGCGCGCATCTCTGTTCCAGCCGATGCTTCGGTGCGGCAAGCAATGAGGAGCGTGCAGGACTCCATCGGGTCGGGTGTGATGCAATCACCGTCCTTCCCTTGGATGGGGGTGACGATCAGGCTGACGATGCATGACCTCGGCTACCTATACCGCCGCAAGTTCAGACTGTAGATAGCTCGCCGTTTTGCTTCCGCCGCTCACGACGCTTGCATTCGTGAAAGTGAGGGGTACACCAGAAGGAAGGTCTGCATACACTACGGTCGCACCAACCACGATGGCAGCGGTACGGCCACTTTCGTCCGGGCTACGGTCAGAATGACGCTTCACGCACGAGTGGGTCCCGCATACAAAGACCGCAAAGATGTTGGCTTAACAATTGCATGGCGCGTGAAGGACCAAAAAAAGTGCCGAGCATGCATTCCAACCCTTGGCACAGGCAATATTCGTGACGCAGATTGGTCAGAATCGCAAGTGGTGCAGGTCTATGATTGCGTCGCGAAGCGTGGTGAGCGGGAAGGCTGAGTGGTGATGCACTGACCATCAGGCAGGGCCTTTCTCTGGCTCTCATCCGCCGGCCTGTAAAGCCATTGAGCAGGGTCCGACACGTCATCCGGTATCCAACCTTGCTCTCTGGCAGCCGAGTAAGACCAAGCCGCAGCGGACTCTGTCTTCCACGACCACATGATCCATCCTCCTCCCTTTTCGTAAGAAGCGGCTTGCGCCTCAAAGAAGCGACCTGTTTACGTTCGGATGGTGCGGCAAAAAAAGGGGGAATGCGATGTCAGGCGGCTCGGACTTTGAAATGCGGGAAGCAAAGAAAAGTCCAACAGGGCCCCCTCTTTCACGCACGCATAAAGTTGTTGTTCTCGGCTGAGTTCAGAGTTGAAACGTCTTGCGACATCTTGACGCCTTGGCAAGTGTGATAGTCTACGCATCTCGTTTCACGACCCAACGAGAATTCCCCAACGATGACGGCGCGCTTCTTTTGGGCTGCTGCGATGCGCGGACCGATTGCGCAGACGTAATCGATCAGCTCGTCGTCGTCCTTTGGAACACGGCTATCCCATGCGCGCACAAAGTACTGGTGATGGTCTACCGCAATGTGAGAGGTGGGATAAGCGTCGGAGGGCAGCAGCGCATCATACTTGGACCAGGGCTGGAAAGCGTCCGAGAAGAGGACAGTAGGGACGACGGTCGCTGAAGGCTTGATAGCAGCGCGTATAGTCTTGAGCGCTGCTGCTTGATAATTCTGCAACACCGACCACGACAAGCGTTCGTTGATTTTGGGCTCATTGGCGACCTGCGTGAGATTCGATTCAGCGCGTGCTGGCATTACCTGTTTGAGTCTCCTGACAAAGACCTACCTGAATGGCTTTGACTACGCCACCGTAGCTCGCGTTGTTGACAAACATGTCCGTCATGACGCTCAGCGCGTTCAAAGCGCGCTTTGCATTGTTCGGGTCGTCGGCAAACGCCTGGAAGGGCAATGCGTGAGATGTCGATAGCAGCGCGTCTCTCGCCTCCCTGGAATGCTGACTACGCACCTGCTCACCAAGCCTGCCACCGTTGTCCAGCCCATTGACAGATCCAGGAACTGTGTGCAGGTCAAGGACCACGTCAAGGCCATATTGCTTTGACCATATGAGCGCATCGCGCAAAGCTTTTCGTTGCCTGCTGGCAAGGTATGGCTCTGGCTTCACCGTGGGCACAAAGGTCCAGCTTGTAGTTGAAACATGTTCGAGGAGTTCAGATCAGATTCAAGCGCAGCGAAGGTTGTCCCGATACCGCTTTTGACGAGAATATCCCTCCAACGTCCGACAAAGCTCTCAGACTTACAAGGGCACGGGGATCCTGACGGTTGATAGACCTGCTCGCTGAATAGCCTCGAAATCCGACTGATTCATGAATGTGCGATAGTGTTCCACCAAATCCTCCTGCGCTTTGGATCCCTTGGCATTCATCCAACTCCACTCGTCGTTGAGTTGCATGGAGCGTATATCCTGCGTCAAGAAGAGGGAGGGATTTTGCCAAGATTCCAAAACGAACCAGGCACCCAGATTGACCCCTCGTACGACGGAATTCCTGCCAAAGTGCGCTTGCTTGGGTGATTCGTCAGAGCCGTAGGTCATGCTGTTGGTTGGAGATCCTTCGCGCTCTTGAAGAGCGCTGACACCGTCTGCTTTTGGAGACCATTGGCTCAAAGGGGCAGCGAAGGTGCCGATGGCTGTGGAGAGTAGAGCCGCGACGACCAGCGCCGAGAGTAGCCTGAAGGCTTTCATTTGGACAAGAATGATTGCGAATCCGAGTTGAGGAGAAAGGAACGTGGGCTCAGCTTTTGTCGCTTGAGGGGCAGGACCAGCTGTTAGAAGCAAATGTCAGTACGGTCCAGCCGCAATAGAAAGTAAGAATGATGAGCGAGACGAAGGCGCAGGCAAGAAGCGAAAGTGGAACGAAGATGGATGATGAGTGGATGGAAGCAGCGAGCCGAGGATGTAATTCTGCATGAGAAAGAGGACGAGAGTGACATCTTGATAGGCCGCACCAAACAGGCTGTCCACTGCTAGCGAGGCCATAGCAGGACGATCGAGCCTTAGTACCGTTGACTGGTCAACGGTTCCTGACGCTTGTGTAGAGCTCTGGGTAACATCTGAACGGAGCTGCCATGCAGCACCTTCAACGCAACGGCTTACCACTCTGAACTTTCCACCTTTGTCTTGAAGCCGTGGGAGCGTTGTGCAGCTTTATTGCGAAGGCATCTACACCACCAACGCTTCGATGCGCAGCCGACACGCTGAAGGGAATTGCCATCGAATCGAGTGCAGCTCTGTGCTCAAAAGCGGCAACGGAGTTGTGCAAAGCTGATCGCATTTCGCTGCCAAGCATGCATGCACTTAGAAATCATACACAACGGCGCCATGCACCCACCGCCAAATTCCAACTTGCCGTGAGCATCTTGAGGCAGCGAAAAGGCAGGCAGCAGGTGAAGATGTTGACCGATGAGCTTCTTCGGGCTGACGCGCACCGGCGCTCCATCTTGCTCTTCAAGTCACAGTCAAGTTACGCTTCGACGTGACACGCAGGATGGTCGTTCGTCGTACCGTTGAGGCTAGCCGCGGTATGATGGGAGCAGGCCGCTCGCTCGCTTCGACTATACATACTCATCACTTGGCGCGCGTCATGCTCGGATCTTGAGAAAAGGACGGCGCAAATCCTGCAATCACGTGAGTTGTAGACTCACGTGCTTGGTTCCTGAGTGCAGGGCCTACACGTGACCTCAATCTGCGTGGCCGACGCACGGACGCGCGCAGCTTCACGAGTCGCAGGTACGCGCGTTCACCACGTACCTCACTCGGATTTCTGGATGAATGACACAATCGTGAATTTGAATAGAGTCGTGAGTGGTGAGCAGCTTTCTTTAGGAAGGGTGCGCATGACATTTCTGATCGTGACTGATACCAACCTGAACAAGCAATCTTGCCATCCGCGTTCATTGGCAAGCTCTCTCAAGTGGTTGGCGAAGCACAGCAGAACAATTCGTGATTGCAATACGCCATCCGTATAGACCAGCAGGCACTTGGATTCATCAAGTTGATCGAGCTCGACCTCCGAGCGAGAGTCATCTGCCAAAATGTTCGCCAATCGCGATGGGTACGATCGGTGCGTGCACATCATGTTCGTTGCCAAAGACCGGCGTCACTCCACGCTGACACTTTTCGTCGCCTTTCTCTCGTCTTGATAGCGGCGTCAACACCTTCTCGCCGGAAGGTCGTCTGTTCCAAGTAGAGTATGCTCTGGAAGCCATCAAGCTAGGAAGTACCACGTTGGGCATCGCTGTACCAGAAGGCGTGGTGCTGGGAGTGGAAAAGAGGGTCCAGAGCAGTCTGTTGGAAAAAAGCAGCATCGAGAAGATCATGGAGATTGACGCTCATGTGGGATGCGCCATGAGCGGTCTGACTGCGGATGCTAGGACCATGATCGAGCATGCTAGAGTCACGAGTCAGGTAAGTGAATGCGCGAGTGACGAGGCGGCGTCAGCTTTAGTGGACCTGGAGGAGCCGGCGGAGCAGTGGATGATTTGCATCATGTTCGCTCCTTGCGGGGTCGTCGTGGCCGAGCGACTCGCTCTCTTCCGCTGGTCTACTTGACTGCCCCGCTGCTGTGCTCCGCGCTCTCAGGCGCTGACAAACCTTCTCCGCGCCTCGATTCGATACAGAACCACGCTTTTACATTCGACGAGGAGATCAAAGTTTCCAGCGTCACCCAAGCAGTGTGCGATCTGGCGTTGCGTTTCGGAGAGAGCACCGAGGATGACGAGGCGATGATGGTGAGCCAAGTGATGACAGGAGGAGTTGCTATCTCGCCCACGTCGGCTGACCCACCTTGCCGCACCAACAGTCTCGGCCTTTTGGTGTGGCGCTACTCTTGGCGGGAATTGATGTCAAGGGACCACAATTGTTCCACGCCGATCCCTCAGGAACGATGGTGAGGTATGACGCCAAAGCGATCGGATCAGGCTCGGAAGGTGCTCAGGCAGAATTGCAGGACAAGTACACAAAGGTGAGCGCTGTTCCTCGAAGAGCACTTCTGGTATCGACTATGGATGCTCACGCGATATGAGGTCTCGGCGACGCTGTAGGACATGTCATTGAGAGATGCGTCGCTCTTGACCCTTAGAGTGCTCAAACAGGTCATGGAAGAGAAGCTAGACGAACACAATGTTCAACTCGCCCTTGTCACGCCTCGCACTGCAAAGGATGGCAGGCAGTCGGGACAGTTCAGAATCTTGCCAGAGAGCGAGCTGAAGGATCTCGTAGCGGCCATGTAAGCTACCTCTTGCAAAGACACTCGTGCAATGATGATTCAAAGGTCAATTGGTTGAATTCATGTGTTGTGTAGACGGTGCATTGATTGCATTTGGTTTCTCTTAAATAGAGCAGTATCGACAGGATGTAGTTGATGTACTGAGCGCAGCGCAAAGGCAGGCGCGGTTCTAGATTTCGTCGACGTCGTTGCTCTCAGGGCTCCCAGAACTGTGGCGAGCGAGACGTGCAAGCGTGGCAGCTGTCAAACTACTTGGCTGGGCATGGTGCGTCACGATAGCAACTCACAGGAGTCATGTAGTACTTCTTTCCTTTGGCACCCTCTGCTGCAGCAGCATCCTCGATGGATCTGAGATCCTCCTCGCTGAGCGTCTTGATATTCTTGATATCCTCGACGTACTGTTTCATCCTCTCCTCCTTGCCGCTCGTCGTCACAACGATGCCGTTTGTGCGCTGCAAGTTCCAGTAGAGGAGTGCCGTACCTGGCGAGACGCCATGCTTGCTCGCCACGCCTTCCAAGGTTTGTTGAAACTTGCTATCGGGCTTCAAGTCTTTGTACTGAGAGGTCAAAGAACCATACGACATGGTCGTGATGCCCTCTCTCTCTTGCAGCTTGAGCAAAGCTTGAATGTCGGGATGAGAGTAGAGGAAAGGGTTGAGCTCCACCTGATTGATCTCGATCTTGTGTTTGGGCTTGGAAGCCAGAAGCTCCTCAATGTCCTTTGCCGTCCAATTGCTCACTCCAATCACATCCACCAGACCTGCATCCTTGACCTTCTCCAGCCTGTTCCATGCCTCGATGTTGCTGGGCGCTCCATCCTTGCCTCTAGGCGGGTAGTGCAGCAGGACGGCATCCAATTTGTCGCTCACTCCGATATCAGACAACTCTTTCTTTGTCTCACCAAGGGGATCAGGGATACCGCGTGAGCCCAGCTTGGTGAGAAGGAACAGATCCTTGCGGCTCGCTACGCCCGAGCTCAGATGCTCGCTGACAGCTTTACCCATGCTCTTCGTATTGCTGTACACTTCGGCGGCATCTTTGAGGCCACGATCACGCAGAGCAACGTGAAGTCAGCGAGGAGAACGAGGAGGAAGAACGCAACACCGCACGGTCCTCACCTAGAAAAGTGAAGCCTGCACTCAACGCTTTGGAGACTTGCGAACTGGCATCACTCTGGTAATGCTGCGTTCCGATGCCGAAGCTGAGTCGCGGCACAGATCGGCCAGACACGAGCTTGACGGTAGGCAATGACATCGTAGACGCTTTAAGAGATGTGGTGTGTCAAGCTTGAGAAGTGAGTGC